GGGGGGGAGGGGAGGTTGTTTTAGTCTAGCAGAGACTAAAAGGGTTTAAATACAAAGTCTTCAAATATATGAATAGTTTCTGAAAAAAAACCCATGATCAATTGTCCTTTGTCTTCAGTAAAATAAGAAGCAATGGTTTAATTTGCAGGGAGATTGAAGAAAAAGGGAGATTGAAGTTAGATATTGGTACAAGCATTTTTTTTTTTTTCTTCTCCTGGGATAGGTAAGTCCTGTCAAGGGAAGCTGTGGCATTCCCATCACTTGAGTTTGAGAACAGATTAGGCAAATGTTTGTTGGGACTGGTCTGACTAGATGCTTTGATCCTACCTTAGTGCAGGTCTTGGACTAGCTGCTGGTGTGATTGATGTCTCTGCCAGGTTTTCATTGCTCTGATCAGCTGCTTTAGGTGGATTTTTCCATAGTCCTTGTACCTCCCATTGCAGCAGTCTCAGTCAACTGGGCAGGACATGTGTTCTGACGGCATGAAGCTGAAGCAGGTTCGTAGGGTCAGCGTTCCTCGTCTTGCGATGCTTTAAAATTCTCTTGTGATGCTTTTAAGTTAATTTAGGGGCTGGAGAGGGAAGGGATGTAATGCTACTGCTCAGCTCCCTGAAACCCTATTGCTACAAAATGTGGGTGGGTTCTCTTCTCACAGCTTTCTTTTGAATTAGTCTCAAGGCTAAGATGAGAATAGATGCATGTTACGAGAAAGGTGGCTAAATTTAATCTTCATCAAAGCATCTCAAGTCTTCTTAGGCACCTAATAGGTGGAACAGGGTCTGGCCCTTGGTGGGGAAGGAATGAGAGGAAATCCTGTATATATTATATTTACGGCATCATCTTAATCATTGGGATGCCCTCTCTGAGCAGACTGCATTCCACTCTAGTCACCTTATTTTTAAAACAAATGCTGCCGGAAGAGATGAATAATGGAAATTATTAAAAACGGAGCCATTTTTAAAACAAAAAGAAAGTTTATGGAGACAGGCTGAAAAGACGGGAATAAATAAAGTAGTAAAAGTACCTGTGGCTTAAAGACGGCCAGTTGGGCACTTTTAGTCACTCTCTTGTGTAATAAGAGGAGCCCCCAGAGAGCAAGTTTAAAACAAATACCACTCTACATGCCGCATAATTTACCTCTGGAACTCCTTCTCGAAAGATAGGGTTGAGATCAAGAGTTTAGCCACTAGCCAGAGTCTTGGAAAAACTGGGCAAGTTGCATATTTAACTCCTAATTACAACATTTATATAAGTTGTTTTAAACTCTGTACCAAAGGCGTGAGCTAACTTCTAATTCAAGTGGGCAGGAAGAAACTTTTCCATGGGGACACATTATCCTCTGCCTGCATTCTGCAGCCATTTTCATGCTGCGAATAGCCGACAGATAATGCATACCTCCCTTCCTGGATTTGGTAAGGAAAGGTTGCAGAGCCTTTTGTGTCTAGGTACTTAGTGCTAAATTGTGCATGGAATGTGTCCAGCAATACCTGCAGCCCATCAGCACTTCAGGTCCGGGTTAGCAGGAGTTAACCAGCAAGGTGGCTGGAACTGAAAATGGTAGCACAATAAGCTGCAAAATAGCTGTAGGGGGCAGCAGCAAACCCCAGAAAAGCAAAGGGAACTGCAAGGCCATGGGGTTGGCATGTTCATTGTCCCTCTGTGATCTCTTCTCTGCCCTAAGCCAGGCAGCAGCAGAGAACAAGCAAACAGGAACTAGACTTTCCCAGAAATCTTCCCCAGTATAGTGTTATTAAGCCATCCAAAACATGATGTATTTCAAGAGCCAAACATGAAAAACCAGCCCCATTGCACTCAGCGCTGTTTAATGAGCCCTCAAGCCAAAGCCTTCCTGGCAGGGCCCCAAAACATAGGGTGTCACCCTGACTGAGGGGGAAGGTTGTCAGAGGGAGCCCATCCTGTCACGTCCCAAACCCAGCCCCTTCAGTCTGTCTTCGTCCCATAGAGACCAATCCTGCACGGGGCCTGCAGGTGCTGATTGACCTAGCAGCTCAGAGGTCTCCATATTGGGCTCCTTGCACAGGATTACGCAGTGAGGGGCTCCAGAGAGCAGGCTGCTCACACACTACTGGCTCCCTTCTTGTTTCCAGGAGTTGGACTGCACTAAAATAATGTTTGATGTACATATTAAACCCCTTCCTAACTTGTCTTTACCATGGCAGCAAGTGCTGTGCTTGCCACAGGAGGTGCAGGAGATTTTGCTCCAGTCTCCTACATAAAGCATTTTCCACTGCAAATGTCTGCAGCGTAGCAGATGCTTTGGAGGCAAAGCAATAACATTTCTAGCCTAATCCATAGCAGCCTCAGGTCAGAGACCTCCTCCAAGGTACTTGGACTCTGAGCCTGACCTGCACGCGGCTGGAGAGACGTGCTCCAAACAGCAAAGAACAGAAAGCCAAAGGCCAGTGTTCAGCACGACCTGGAGGGAAGTCAGATGTGCCCTGAGGGCAGGGCTGGTGTTTGACAGCAGTCTGTGTTTGAAGGCCAAGATTGCCAAAAGTGATGGCCTGCCGTGACACTCCTAATGCTGTGGTCAAACACCTGCCTGAGTGTTCACGGGGCTGAAACACACAGGAGTTTTGTCATCAGGCCAGTTATTTGAGTGCCTTGCTTAAGACTCCCATGTTAGTGTCCTCATTTATTGTTATGGCTATTGTTATTCTTATCTCTTCGAAATCTTGGCGTTCGCATCTTATGATTCCCAAAGGAATCCCCTATTAGGGTGGAAAGAGTCATTCCCCTCCAATTTGGAATACCATTAAAAGGAAAGCAATTGCCTTGCTTAGATGGAAAAGGCCTCTGAGCACTTGGCCTAGAGTCTTGGCTGACCTTGTGACACAATGGGTAAATATTGGTCTTTTAAACACCTATGATCAATCCCTGGTGATTAATCTTGACACAATGCTTTGCCTTCCCCTCCTGTTTCTCCCATCATTTCTTTATCTTCTTTCACCCCCACCTTCTTGTCTGTTTACCTCCTCCCTTTGCAAAATATTTTTGACCAAATTATATTAAGAGAGAAGCTCGCTGCTATATAATGGGCAAGTCTGGCATCACTAGCAACTTGCCTGATTTTACCAAACATCTGGTGAGATTTAGTATTTCCCTAAAAGAGCAACACAAGAGTGCAAGACAAGCTTGGCTTTTGCTTCAAGACAGAAAGTGTTTAGCCCTTGTGGGTGCAGGGAGAAGTGTGAACCAGACCCCTAGCGCCCCTTTGGGAGGAGAGACGAGAAGACAAATAAAATAATAAATGCAAGGTTTAATGCTGTGAGATTTGTTAAGCCAACGCCATCATGATTTGTAGCCCAGCTAGCGATTGTTTGTTGCTTGACACTGGCAATATTGCAAGTCGTTGTCCAGTTTGCGGCAAGCTGCATGGCTGCGGGATGGCACCTCCCTGCGATCCCTTGCCACTGGGACTTCTCTGTGCCTCACTGCCCCGTTCGTTAGTTGACAAGGGAGCAGGGGGCAGTGGTGACTCCGTCCTGCACGCGCAACACATTTATACCAGGGTAGCTCTCTAGCACTGGCGTAAAGCAGAAGCCAGACACACCAGGTATTATTCTATGTCACTGTGTCTTACCAGCATCTGGCATAGAGTTCCCATGGGAGCAAATCAGGTAAAACTACAGAGTCAGTGTCATGAGTCTGAAGCTATCTTGGGGTGACCCTGTACTGCTGCTGGCATCCACCCTCCTCTTCCAGTGCATTCCCTCAAATTAACAAACAGCGTTGAACCCATGCGAGTCCAGGCTCTGTTCTGCCCCCTTCCCCGCAGTGTGCTCACAGCCCCTGCTAATTGGGGTCAGTCACTCCCCCAGCTGCCCCAACCCCACTACCTGGCAGGGAGGACTCACGGTCTCTCACCCACTACCAAATGGGGCACCCTAGATTCACCCCTTCCCCTTACGTGGTCTTGCACCCGCTTCTACCCAGCTCACGGCTTCCTTGGCCTCCCTGACACCTTCCAGCCTCTGGCTAAGCAGCCACTGCTAACTGCTTTATAACATGGGTTGTTCATGCACATCAACCCCGTGCCCATCCCAGCCATGTCACCCCTGGTCTGGGGCTGGTGTCACCTGCTGGGGACCTCGCAACCCAAGGTGGGGTGTGGTTTCCAAGAAGGAGCTTGCTGGGGCAGTGCTGCTCCCAGATCAGATCAGGCAGAAGTGCTGGTGCCAGGAGGGGCATGGGGACTCCTGCAGGCGGGATGGAGCAGGTCCGTTGCTGTAGCAGAGCTCCACGTTGGGCTGGCAGCGGGGTGAGACCGCCACCACCACTACGTCCTCCCTCCCGTGCAGAGGAAGATGCCTATGGCCAAGCCTGCCAAAGCAAAAGCCCCCAAGGTGAGGCCCAGCACCAGTGAGGTGTGTGAACGGGCATCACGTCTTTCTGCAAGGCACAAGTGGGGAGACAGGGACTCAGAGCACAGTAGAGGAGGCATCAACCTCTGCCCACCCCCCGGACCTTCCCTCCACCCCCACTCACTAGAGCTGTCCCTCCAGGGGTGCTTCCTCATGAAGTCCGGGCACTGGGTCTTCAGGAAGGCCTGCAGGTGGGAGGTGGTTTGGGGGAAACTGTTTAGCCACTTCAAGATGAATGGGCCCAGCGGGTCGTTCTCCTTTGGCCTCTGCAGCTCCCAGGAGGCGTTGGGGGGCCTCTGGGGCAGGAAGATCAGGAATTCTTCTCCACTAAGCGACACCTCGTGGAAGCCCTGGGAGGTGCCACTGGGGAAGAGCTGGCAGCCCAGCGTGCAGTGCAAGCGCAGAGGGTCTGAGGGGCACACAGAGAGACAGGAGCATGAGGCAGCCTGGACCTGTCATGGGGGGGATGCTGTGCATGGCGCTTTCTGGGGCTGAGGAATTCTGGCATGGGGCTGGCGAGGGAACGGGGATGTCCTCCTGCCCCCTCGCTTACCCCCAGTCTCCCCCTCATTTTCAGCCCCCTGTCCCTCCTCCAGGCTTGTCTCCATCTTTCTCCCATTTGCCCTCTTCCCTTCCCGCTCCTGATTTGCCAGCACCCAATCTCTGCCTTCCACCTCTCTCCTACACAGCCCTTTCAGCTCTAGCAGGGTGTGGGGTGACGGCCTCTGCTCTTCGTGACCTCTCCCCTTTCCCCATCCTTCCCCTGTGCCACACAACATTAATCTCTATTCCCCCCCATGGTACTTTCAACTTGCCCCAAGCAAATCCAACTCAGCTGAGCTGCTGATAGCCGCAGGTGCTCTGGCAAGTGGAAACGCTGTTGGATACCACAGCTCCCAGCCACACAGCCAGACCCCGGCAGCTATCGAGGGCCCCGCACATGCCGTGCTGCACAGTTCCTCTTGTGCTACTCACACTGCACATTCCTCTCCCTGGCAGCAAGGTGGACGATGTCCTCAAAGTAAGAGAGATAAGTCTCCAGGCTGCGCTTTGTCTTTTCCCACTGGTCCGGGGACTCCAGTGGGAGGTGCTGGCTGGCCTCGCGCCCCTGCAGGCTGTGGGTCAGCACCCCGTCCAGGCTGGCGTTGCCCAGGAACTGTACGGTGGTTCTGTTGAACTCAGCCAGCAGCTGCATGGTGAAGGTGTGCAGGGCTGGCAGGGGGAAGGGGTCTGTGATGGAAAACACGAGCAGAGTTACAGCGTGACACGGTCACACCACGCTGACCCGGCACTGCTGGCCTCAGTCCGGGAGGACTGTATGTGCATGCAAGTCGAGGACAACCGCAGCGAGCCCCCAGCCTCTCACCTGGCCAGTCCCTCGCCTCTGCCTATTCTCCCCATCACTGCCCTGCCAAGGACCCTTGCCTTGGCCCTGCTGCTGGGAGCTGTCACAGACCTGCTGGCACCAGCCTTTCCTGTGGGGCCCTTTTCCTTCCCCTTCTGTTGTTGCAGCTCGGGAGAAGTGTCGGAGCTAGCAAGAGATCTACATGTTGCTCATGGCAGGGGGTTCTCCAGACAGGGCTGGCTCAGGGCCTGCTGGGGAGCGCCACCCTGACATCTCAGCTCCATCCCTCAGCCTCATCACTTGGACCTGCAGTCCCAGCTCCCTTGCACCAATGCCCTGAGGCGCAGCCAAAAGGCAGAGCGGCTCAGACTGACTCCCGCTGGCTGAGGTGGAGCAGAGGGGCTGGCCGCAGCCCCGCAAGCTAGCCAGTCAGAGTAGGGTGCTGGGGAGCCCCACTTACCTGCCTCCTGTCCCCAACAGCTGAGCGCACTGGCAAGAAGCAGCAGCAGCATCCCTGTGAGGGCAGGATGCTCAATGCTGCACAGGAGCTGCGTGGCCTGGAGCGAGCGGGCGTGGAGCGTGGGTGCAGGCGTGTGGCGAGGCTCTGCTCTGCATGCCGCCCAGTGGAGCAGTGCTGGGGAGATGAGGGAGGCTGGTGTCTGGCATGGAGAAGGCAGGGCGGGGAGGTGGGGCTCGGTGACAGAGGTGGGTGGGAGCGTGATTCCAGCTCTGTTCCATTTCCTCATCCCCAGCTGCTGACACCCGTTCCCTGCCGGCCCACTGCAGCTGGCTCTCCCTGCCCTTTCCCAAAGAGAGAGGGAGCTTCCAAGTCTCCTGGGCTGCAGAACAGGGCTCCTGGCTGGAGGCTTGGCTGGCTAAAGCAGCCCAGGAGACTTGTGGGCTCTGCTCCGCATCCATCTAACAGGCTGCAGTGCAGCAAGCCTGGACTCCTGATTTCCCCTCCCAGCCTTGCTGCTGTCCCCCACCTCAAGCTAGGACAAATCACGTGCTTCTTTGCCTCAGTTTCCCACACTTGTACAATAGCTCTGGTCCCTCCAAAGAGGCATAAGACCCTGCAACAGAGCACAGAATGTGCTGTTACTTACAGGGGCCTGAGCAGCAGCAAGACAACCTGCAGCTGACTGCAATCTCAATCAGGCACAACTGCCTGATTGGGAATAGGGCCTAGCTGTGCCCCCTATATGAACAGGGGCTCTGAACTGCAAGGTCAGCAGCAACTTCCTGCCAGCAACTGAAGAGACACCACCAGATGAGCTATTGCTCAAAACACCTTGGTGGTAAGGGCAGGAGCTATGGGGATGGTTGGAGGCTCCTGGTCCTGGGGCATGATCTAAAACTATGCCATGCTGGGGTTGGATGGTGTGGTGGGGCTGCTTGTGGCAGGGCAACTTCCAGGAAATGCTACACCTGGGGCCTCTCCAGTGAAGGGTGAGTAGGGGGTGCCAGAAAGCTTCAGTTCCCACTGCTTTGTGGGTGACCCTGTGGAGGGGAAAGGCTAGGGGAGCACACCCTGAAAGACAAAGCAAGAGTCCAGACTTGAAGTGAGCTCTGAGGCAGGGACCCAGGTCCGGAAGGGACCTGGAGCAGTGCCTAGACTTGCCACGACCATTGAGCCAGGAGTAAGGCTCCAGGCAGGTGGAGAAATGTACCCCTAATAAATGAACACACCCCAAGTGACAGGCAAATCTGGTAACACCACATGAGACTCTGGAGCTGGGGTCCCAATGTGTGACACTGGAGGAACATGGATGACATCTGCAAGGCATGGGGCACAGTAAGGGATAGTTGGAGCTGCATGTATCAGCCCTTGTCATCAGGGCAAGTAAATGGACAGCCTCCCCCCTGGTTTACATCATTCAATTGTATCATCTAGGGCATGGTGGGTGAAGTAGGTAGGCAGTTTGCTCAGAGGCAAGTGGGTGGGCCTACATTCAAACTGGCCCCAGGATACCCGCTTGTTACAGGCCCACTGGTCAGATGGAGCTGGAGGTCCCTCGGGGGTCCCTGGCAGGCAGCCAGCCATGCACAGAGCCCACTGACATAAACCAAAGCAGCCCAGCCCTTCCCTCCTCCCTTCAGTCCTGTTCTCCAGGCTCAGCTTTACCACCTTTGTGCTCTCATGCATGAGCCAGTCCTCACTCTGCATGGGAGTCGCACCATGAAGCAGCTGCAGCTCAGTGGTTCTCTATCTCCAACAGGGCAACCTTCTCCAGCCCTCAAGCCAGGGCAGGGGCACTGCCAGCTTCTGGGACACTCAGGATCCTTCCCATTTGACTGTCCTAGGTCAGTGGGGCATGAGATGGGGCACAGGGTGGGGGCTGCAGGCCCTGCTCTCAGCTAACCATGGCCAGACCTTAACCCCTCTGATAGAAGCCTTTTAAAGGAGCCATGGGAACTCCTGACCCAACCCAGCAAGCTACCCTCAGGAATCAGGGGCAGAGAGAGTACAAAAGTAGCTCCACCTGCAAAGCTGTGGCAGGTCTTGGGTGCTGGGCTAAGGAAATCTGGCTTCAGGGAGAACAGACCAGGAAATGGGGCTTTGGGACCATTCCCTAGAGGGTGCACTCCAGACCTAGGCCAGGGCCAGCTGGTTCCATGTGAAAAGACCTCATTGTCCATCTCAGCATTGCCACCTCTTGGGGTTTTCTGGCATGCCTTACAAGGAAGGCCCTAGCTCCAGGAGTCCTGTGATTGTGTGAGAATCCCTTTAAAAGAAGATCTAGCACTCACGGGGGTGAGCAAGAGTTTGAGATGGGACAGGAGGGGCCCCCAAAGGCTAAGAAGCCAGAAGGGAAATGCACCCTAGGTGGGTGTCTCTGAGAATTTTGGAACATCGTGATTTTTAGGCCAATTGAAGCCCAAATAATGATTTTTGAACATTGGAGAGTAGGGGATGCAATACTGCAGCTTTCTCCTCCTGAAGCATGCTGGGAAGGAGAGAGGAACAAGAGGAGAATCTAGGTCTAGACTCCCACCAACCGGAAGAGCAGTAATGTCCCCATTATTGGGACCATGGCAAAGGAAAGGAAACAAGCAGAGACCCCAAGAGACAGACATAGAGGGTAAGTGCTCAAAAATCACAGGATGGACTTAAAACAGCAGTGCTCAGCCTATGGCTGCAGGGCTGAATCTGGCCCATGGAGCCATATCATTCAGCCTGTGGGGCTCCCCAAGGGTTCAGAAATTTGGAAGCAGGGGAGCAGTGGCAGTGTTCATTGTCACAGTCCTGGGAGCCACATGAGGTGTGTGGGGTTGGTCTGGGGCCAGATCCAGCACATGGACTCAGTCCACCAGCACAACCCAATGCACAGGCCAGATCAGGACAATGGACTGTTTCTGCACCACCAGGACCATAGGGCCAGAGGGGCTGGGCACCACTGGCTTTGAATGATCAGTATGGCCTTGTCTTTTACAAGTTCACATTTCAGAAGCCCTCTACCTGGGATCTGTTAAGTGTATATTGACAACATTTCATAGAAGCAGGTTGTTAGCTGCTGTGGTCGTCCTGCTTTCCCTGTGCCACATTCAGGTGTTGGGTCTCTATATATATATAAAACTCCACCTCCAACACTCTGCCAAGTGGCCCCTGTGATTCACCTGGCAGCTCAAAGCACACTAAAAACCCATTACACAATTCGCACTGCATAACCACATGCCTGTGCACCCATCTTCATACCCATACCCCCACCCACTGCCCTCCTCAAAGGGTCTACTCCTGAAAAAGTCTATGCCAGACCCCTCTCCACCAAATGAAGTCTACCATTTCTTTCCCGTTATCCTCTTCTGTCTTCCTGTAGTACCAGTACATTTCACTTAGTCCCATTTCAATACAGCCCTCAACTGTGGGGCCTAAGTAGCTTAACTTATTTTTTACCCATGAACAAATGGGTTCAGGTTTTCCAGGCCTGTGGGATGGAGCCCAGGGCTGCATGTCATAGGGTGAGGCCTGGCCACATGGCAGAGTGGATCCTGTGGCTGATGAGGAGCAGGCTTAAGCTTCAGGTACGCCATGAGAACCAAACTGCGTGGGTGCTTGTCAGCAGGGATCATCACATTACCTGCCAGGGATCATCATCATCACCTGCTCCAGAAAAACCTGCTTGTTTGCTCTCAAAGGGAAAGATTGAAGGTTGTCTGAAGCAGGGTTTGAGCTCCTTTCCCCTCTCTTCAGAGGGATGCATTAGCCAGTGAGTTCAGTGTCCTGGGTGGTGGGGAGAGGGATGCATACCCGCTCACCCTCCCACATGCCCCCAGTCCAGTTCTGCTACTGGATTTACTCCTACAAGGAAGCTGAGGCCTTCACCAACATCCTGCCCTAAGTCATGGTCCAAATAAAGAGCTTGTTCCTGCTCTCATGGGAAGCGATTGGCGAGTACATGGCAGATAGGTCCACTGTGGATATTAACATGGCAAGAAAGAGGTGACCTCCAAATTAGGACTTCTCAGGTCTGGGAAGTGTAAGAGGAAAGAATCAGGGGGCAGCTCAGTCTGGACAGACCCTGCAGAATTATTCTTCTCCTTGGCATCTGCTCCCTGCCACTGTAAGATGCAAAATCCTAGGCTAGATGGACCTGTGGCAACTAGAATCATAGAATCAAAGGACTGGAAGGGACCTGGAAGATCATCAAGTCCAGTCCCCTGCCATGGGCAGGTGGTTTTTGGGCTCAAGCAGGCTCAATGAGGTGCTTGTCCAGTCTCCTCGTGAACACCTCCAGGGATGGCAACTGCACCACCTCTGCTGAGAGCGTGCTCCAGATTGTAGTTACCCTTACAGAAAAGAAGTTTATCCTTATGTCCAGCCTAAATTTTTCCTCAATTAGCTTGTGCCCATTGGTCCTCGTCCTTCCAAGGGGTGCTTTCCTGAAGAGTTGCTCCCCTTCATCTCGGTGCTCACCCCTGACATACTTATAGGCAGCTATCAAGTCACCTCTCAGGCTTCTCTTACTCAGACTGAACAGACCCAGTTCCAGGAGTCTCTCCCCATATGACCTATCCTCCAGGCCACTGATCATATGAGTGGCCCTTCTCTGTACCCTCTTGAGCTTATCCACATCCTTCCTGAAGTGTGGTGCCCAAAACTGAACACAGTATTCCAGCTGTGGCCAAACCAATGCCAAATAGAGGTGGAGGAGCATCTCTCTGGATCTATTGGCAACACATCAGCTGATGCACGCCAGAATTCTATTTGACCTGCTGGCAACTTCATTGCACTGTTGGCTCATGTTCATTTCCTGGTCGATTGTCACCCCCAGATCCCATTCAGATGTTGTGCCAGCCAGTGGTCCACCACCCATCATATAGCTATGATGAAGGTTCTTCCTACCCCCATGAAGGATCTGGCACTTGTTCCTATTAAACCTCACCTGATTGTGTTCAGCCCATAGGACCTGTCTGTCCAGGTCATCCTAGATCCTTTCCCTGTCCTCAGATGTGCCCACATTTCCCCACAGCTTGGTGTCATCCGAAAATTTAATCATTGCACTTTCCACCCCCGCACCCATGGAGCCACTTATCCATCCACCTCACTGTAGACTGGTCTAGGCCAGTACCTTCCAGTTTAACTGAGAGAATCTCATAGGAAACGGCTTTACTGAAATCTAAGTAGATGATGTCAACCTCATGTCCCTTGTCCAGCCTGTTAGTTACATGGTCATAAAAGGACACCAAATTTGTGAGGCTTGTCCTACCCTTGACAAAGCCACACTGGTTGCTTCTTAATAGCCTACCAGTTATGAGTTTGAAATTGATGGCCTCCTTAACAATTTTTTTCAAAGATTTTCCTAGGACTGAAGTCAGCCTGGCCGGTCTATGGCTTGCAGGGTCATCCCTCTTCCCTTTCATAAAGATAGGTACCACATTAGCCCTCTTCCAGTCATTCGGGACCATTCCTGAGTTCCACGACTCTTCAAACAGCTTCAC